GCTATTAGTTCTACTATGACAAAGTGTTTGTTTTGTGAAAACAGTAGATTGCTTCCTGATAACATGTGTCATATAAACAACTGTGTTGCATATGATTACAATGGGCGATGTTTAGCATGTGCTAAAAATTACTTACTCAATACAAGTGGATTTTGTGAAATATCTATTAATTGTTTATATGGGTATGATAATAATTGTTTAAAATGTGCAAAAGATTACATTTTAAACAATGGAAGTTGTGTACTTAAACAAGAGAATTGTTTAATTACAGATGGTGTATTGTGTAGAAAATGTGGATCTGGTGTTATTTTTGGAAAGTGTGACATATGTTCTTCAGGTTGTATTCATTGCGATGGAACAAGTAAAAACGAATGTATTGTATGTGCCACGAATTATATATTAGTTAATGGGTATTGCAACAAAATTGAAAATGGAATGACAAACAACAAAGAAATGATTTCGTGCAACAACAATTTGTATATTGACGACAATCAATGCTACATTTGCTCACAAAAATATAATCAAGTTTATTTGTGCGACAGACAAAAAATTATACAATGTGAAGAAAGTTATTATATCAATGCAAATGAAAATTTGTGTATTTCCACAACATGTAACAACAACGAAACAAATGAAGAAAACAATTTGTGTTCATCGACAATATCAAATTGCAAACATTCAATAAATTCAAAATGTTTGGAATGTGAAAGTGAATATTATTTGGATTCTAATAATAGCTGTGTTATATATAATAATCTTAGTTATGCACTTAACTGTGAAATATTTAATCACTTCGGGTGTATAAGATGTGTGGAAGGATATTATCTCGAGTCAAATAAAACATGTTCGAAATGTGACACTTCGTTGTGTCAAACGTGTTATTCTTTAACTTATTGTTTGACATGTTCTGTGAACAAGTTTCTCTCTGGACACCAATGTAAATCAAATGAAAATTTAATTGGAAAATGCAATAAATTTGTTACAAGTGGAGGATGTAGTGAATGTTTGGAAGGGTACTATAAAAATGGTTTAGACTGTTATGAGTGTGACACTTCGTGTTCAACTTGTTTTTCAGCACCAACAAAATGTCTTAAATGTAATTCAACAAACTTTAAAACGACTTCGGGAAGTTGTTTACCTCGTTCACTTTTATATGAAAGTTGTGATGTGGAAATCACTGAAAATGGATGCGAAAAATGTAAAGATGGATATTACTTAGTTGATTCAAATCAATGTCAAAAGTGTGACAGTAATTGTAAAACGTGTTATTCATTTGATATGTGTTTAACTTGTACATCAGATAAGATATTAGTCGATTCAAAATGTAAGAATTACTCTTCAATAAATAATTGTAAAGCTGTTTCGAATTCCAAGTGTTCCAAATGCACTTTTTGGTACACTCCAAGTGAAAATGGCACATTCTGTGTAAAGAAAGCCGTGTGGTGGGTTATTCTCATTATAATAGTATTTACCATTGCAATCATTGTTGGCGTTTTCTTGATATTTACATGTTTAATAAAAAGTTATTTAAAGCACACATAACATCAACAAACAAGAAATGAAATAAGCACGTTCAACATGAATAAGTCCAATGTTGCTTTTTTGAATACAACAAACAAAAACATCATGTTAAATAAAACCGAAATAGTATTTGAAAATGAAAATGACACACAAAAAGAGGTTCCTGTAGGTGTTGAAAGTCGTGAATTAATATGTGTTGGGAATGTTGGTAAAAACACTTTGAAAGTGCAATTTTCATATAAAACAACAAATGAAAAATACAAAATACGAGTCGAACCACCAATTGTTGTTATAAAGAAAGGTACAGCAGTCGAATTCGAAATATATATGCGCCCAAATTACTCATGTCACATTAATGACAAAATAGTGTTGGTTTCTGTAGATATAAGGAAAGGTGTTACATCCGAAATACCAATTAATGTAAAAGCAACCACACAAATTTCAACACGCCTTGATCCTGAAGAATTGAATGAAGAGAAAAAAATTGGAGAAGGAAGTTTTGGAATAGTTTATAAAGGTATTTTCAGAGGAAACATGGTGGCTATTAAAAAGATGAAATTCACCACAGATAACCAACATTCCATTGATGAGTTTGAAAGTGAAGTAGCCATGTTAGACAAATTCAGGTGTGATTACATTGTCCATTTCTATGGTGCCGTTTTTGTACCACACAAGATGTGTATGGTGACTGAATTTGCACAATTTGGGAGTTTACAAGACTTAATTAAACATAAAACAAAAGAAGAAATTGAAACTAAGTTACGAGTCAAAATGTTACTTGATGCAGCTAAAGGTATTTCATATTTGCATGAGAACGGGATATTACACAGAGACATTAAACCAGACAACATTCTTGTGTTATCACTTGATGTAAATGAAAAAGTGAATGCAAAATTGACTGACTTTGGAAGTGCAAGAAATGTGAATATGTTGATGACTAACATGACTTTCACTAAAGGTATAGGTACTCCAGTATATATGGCACCAGAAATATTAAGACAAGAAAAATACAAGAAACCAGCTGATATATATTCATTTGCAATGACTATGTATGAAGTGTTTGAATGGAAAGAAGCCTACGCTCGTGAACAGTTTAAATACCCATGGGCAATAGCAGAGTTTGTAATAAGTGGAAAAAGATTACAATTCAATGAAAATATATTTAAAGAATGTTCTGATATAATCCAAAACTGTTGGTGTCAAACCCCATCTGAAAGATTGTCAATTGAATCTGTTTCACAAAAATTGGAACTGTTAACTACAAACATAACTTATTAAAGTTGATTTGTTATATTTTGTTTTAACCTTTAAAAAACATGAGTAAGATTGATTAATAAGTAATATTAATAAATTATTTAAATATAAATATATTAAAGTTGGTTTATTCAAAACATTTAAGTTTCATTAAATGTTGTTTTTTAAAAAATGGACAATCTATGAGGGTTTGTTATTTGAGCAGTAAAAGTTACATGATTATTTTACAGCGACTAATTTTTTATTTCATTTTGGTATTTATAGTTTAAAACTTTTTATGTGTTTGCCATTATTATGTTTGTATTCTTTTTCTCGAATATTTTTCTTTTCATTTTTGTAAATATGTTTTATGTTAATGTCATTATGTTTTTTTGCCAAAACATTGAAATTAGCATAGAAAAAACTAAAGGAGTGGTGATTAAGTTACTATAAATTCATTTCCAGTATCAGCTACTGTTGCTTTTAGAGCTATAACCATAGTCAGCGTCTTGATGCATCAATCCATCAGTTTTTATTACATCATATTTGCCATCTGAAACAAATTAATATGAGTAATATTTACCTTCGACATAATGCTACTTACAATTTAAATTCTAAAGATGTAATACTAAGGTTCGACAAGGACCACGGTTTGACTTGTGGTTAATAATTCCTATATCATTGTAAAAACTAAATATGAAAAGTTATATTTAAACCAATTTTACAAAACAAATGAGGAAACTTGTTCATTATTATTCATTTAGAGTCATTCGCTAAACGTTGTCTGGTCTGTAAAGTTGTCTGCCGATTTTTAGACCATTATAAATGGTATATTTCGGGAATTTTTTTAAAACACTAAAATCCTTGTTTCAATATTTTTCTTGTTTTTTTTTCATCTTTACCTAATACCCGTTTTTTTTAAAATAAAAATCAATTGTTTTTCGACAGAAAGACAACGTTTGGGGAACAGACAACGCTGTTAGACTGGCCCGAGTATTTAAATAGTAAGTCGAAATCTTGGTACTCATCGTAATTTTAGTGCCGTATCTATTGTTGAGCCATTCTTTTACCAACCAACTAAACAAAAGTTTTTTTAACCTTACAATGTCGGTAGAGTAATTAAAATAACATTTATTTTTAGACAATTTAAAAAATATGAAAAAAAACAAAAAAAACTTAAAAATTCAAGTGTGATATATTGTTAACAAATTCTCAGAAATTGAGACTTTACGATATCAAAAATTGATTTGTATTGTTCTGATATGCAATTCAAACTTGTATATATTTTAAATGGTGCGTTGACATTATTAATTTAATGATATGATTTTTGTTTTTTTTATTTTTTCGAATTAAGGAAATGTAAAAAATGACAAGGGTGCCATTCTGAGATTTTTGGTATTTTGTTTTAGTTTTGTTATTCATCCGCAATCCTAAGGTTAAAACGATACATTATTTAAATCTATTAAAACAATTATTTTTCCTTATATTTTATAAACCACAATTAATTAAACGTTTAATAAAAATAATTCTATATTTATAAGAAGAAAAGAACAAAAAAGTTTAAATTGTTGTCCAAAAATAAGATAACTTAAAGTTTTGTCTGACTTTTTTAAAATAATATTCAATTAAATTCTCGTACGACATGAGTATTTGTTTCATTTTTTAATATTTTCCATTCATTAATATTATATTTAAATCTTGGTTTTTTGTTTGTATATAATTGAATCAAAAAAGAAAATTGTTACATTAATCCAAAAAATTCTGAACATGCCAAAAGATTTTACCCATAAATTGTAAAATAAATATAAAAAGAGTCACTTAAATAATATCAAAATAACAACTTCATTTTCTTATTTTTAATCAAAATAAAAAGGAAAATAATCAAATATAATACAATAACGACTTCTTTGTAAATGATCATCACATTAAGTTTATTATTTGCTTATTTCGTTTCAAGAAATTCTCTTGATTATTGTGTCAATCATGAAATTGAAAACAATACTTGTTCTAAATGTGTTGATAATTATATACTCGATAAAGACGGATATTGTGACCATAAATTGGATCTTCATTATAGTTTTGATTCAACGATAACTAACCCTAAATGTGCAGATGGTTATAAATTTAATTTTGCGGATAATACATGTATTATGGGTGTTGAAATATGTAGAAAATTTTACATTAATAATAATAATCCTGATGCCTCTTCATTTCATTATTATTGTGACAGTTGTTACAACGATTTTACTGTTATGAAAAAGACTCAAAAATGTTTCGACTGCTCAAGGGAAAATAAAGGCTGTTTAGAGGCAGACGAAAATTGTGCAAAATGTTCAGAATGTAATGTTGGGTTTTATCTTGAACAAGGAAAGTGTGTTCAATTACCCAATTGTGAAACATATTTTAATTCCACTTCATGTAAACACTGCATTCATGGATATTATCCCGACAATGGTACTTGTGTACGTGGAGGCATGGACAATTGTTTAATTTATATATCACAGAGTGAATGTGATACATGTGGCACAGAATATTTAAGTTTGGAAGGAGAATGCCATCATATGCCATATTGTGAATACTTAAATGATAAAAAAGAAGAATGTGAAAAATGCAAAGACGGTTATGGCAAATTAATGACAGATTGTGAGAAATGTATGGAAAACTGTGAATTATGTGGATCAAATCAGACAATGTGTGAACAATGTAAAATTGGATATTGGTACAATTCAGGAAAATGCAGCAAATGTATTACAAATTGTGATAAATGCAGCAAAGATGATACATGTGACAAATGTTCAATGGGCTCAAGTTACATGGAAGGAACAACAAATAAATGCGATACTAACAGAGTTGAACATTGTATGATCGGTAAACCAAATGATGTAAATGTATGCCAAGAATGTGAATCAAATTATTTCTTGAGTGTAGATAAAAACAAATGTATTTCATGCGAAAAGAATTTGTGTTCAAATTTGGATTCAAGTGCATGTAAAATGTGTTCGAATAACTGTGAAACTGTCGACTCAGATGAAAGTAAATGTGCTTCTAAGTCGGCCTGTAAAAGTACAAATAATGGAAAATGTTTGGGTTGTATTGAAGGATTCTTCCTAACAGCAGATTTTAGGTGTGAAGGATGCTCAAAAGAATGTGAAGGAATGTGTTATAATAACGCAAGCAGTTGCATTGTTGAAAAAGAAGAGGGATGTGCAGAAGCTGATGTTAATCACGTGTGTATTACATGTAAAGTTGGTTATGTGTTTGATGATAAAAAGTGTGTTGATGCATCTAAAGATAGAGTTTGTCAAGTTTATGATTCGGATAAAAAATGCACTGTTTGTCAAGTCAGAGATCCAAATAACACAGACAATGACAAATTTGTTTATCCCGTTTGGAACAACACTTGCGAATTAGACAAGGATGATTCAATTAATTCCAACAATGGCGAATCATTTATTATCGTAACAACTCTTTTGGCATTATACTTATTATTGTGAAGTTTTTCTAGAATCAAAAAGACTTTTTTATTGTTATTTTTAAAAAAAAGATGTAATTTTTTTGTATTTGTTAATTTATATAATTTATTTAATAAAAACTATATATTAATGGTCAAACATGCTTTTGTTTAATAAATTTTATATACAATTGGTTCGTTTTCTATGTAACAAGTCTCATAATAAATTGAATTTGTCTCAAAACAAATAAAAATTGCACCTATATTCAATTGTGTTTCAAAACAATTAAAATGTCTCATTATTTTGTAATTTGTGCCAATAAAAACAAAAGTGTTTTATAATAATATCAAATAATCCAAAAAGTATTAAATTGTTTTATTAATATGTAATTTTGTTTTATAAAGATTGTAACATTCTAACGTGTAAATGTGTTAGAATACGCACATACTTACTTTTAATAAAACAATTTTTAAAACAAATGATCAAAAAAAAATTAAAATATCATAACTCGCTTTTAAATAATGAACAACTTACAAAATATCTGACATTTGTTTAAAAATATAAAAATTTGTTCATCAAAAAATTTATTAATAACTTAATAAAATACCATTATAAGTCAATGCTTTTAATAAACAATTGGTAAAACACCTTTCACCCACTAATGTGATTGAATTTGGCAAGTCAATTGAAGTAATTTCTGAGTCACAGAAGCACTTTCTGCTTAATTTAGTGATAAATTTTGGGATTGTGTTGCCATATTATATTTAATCTTTCTTTGTGTAAATCAAGTCTTTAAAAATAATATTTGGCTTCTTTATCGTTTGAAACAAGTCGTAATTAATTGGACACCATATCTTAACGCAAAAAAGTCGATATTATCTTGATGATTGCTCGGAATTACTCTAAAATTCATATTACTAAAAGTTTCGTTGTTTTTGGACCAAATGTTGAGTGTTTCTATTTTCGAAAAGAATTTTATTGTTTTCGTTGTTAACGGAATCAGGTTATGGTGAAATTTTAACATATTGGTATTAAACTTCTTGCAGACAAATTCCAAACTAATGAAGTCAACAAATGTAGAAAAGTATTGCGATATAACCATCATATGATACCCATCAATCAAACCCATTGATTCTAGTAGATAATAGTTCTTTTTATAAAAAATTGATAGTAAAATATATTATTAAAATATTATACTTATGGTATCTTCATGAAAAAAGTTATTATAATGTTTTTGAAGGATTTTGACAAAACACAATGAAAAAGTTATCTTTGAGTTATTTATTATCATTTTATAAAATGACGAAATTTATTATATTAATTTATTGGTGCAATTCCAGTTAAACAATAAATTGTAGCACAATTATTTAGTAAATAACAAAAATAATAATATTATTAACCAAAAAAAAGTTGTTTAAACATCATTTATAAATCCTTCATTATTGATATTTTCAAACTCCATTTGTTGACCTTCACAACTTTCATTTAATTGCGTTTGTTGTTGAGGTATGATATACATTGGACTACAAATAACAGGATACACTGGTAAAGAAAGGTATCTATTGTCAACGTATGAAGTTGGTATTGAGCATATAGGCGGGTTTTCACATACAAAAGTTGGATTAGAATATTCGTCTGTTTCATTACAAGTCATTTCAATTTCTTTTGTCTTTTCAATCATATCATTTTCATTTGACTCGTTGATTGATTTATTGTGGCTTTCTGTTGGTGTTGTTTGTTCTTCCACACAAACAACTTTATCTTCAATAATTGTTGTGTCTGATTTGTTGTTTATTTGTTCGGTAAGAGTTTGATAATAATCCACAAAACTAATATTATTTACAACACAAAATTTCTTAGTTATTTCATCATTGTTAATGTTACCACTTACAAGAGCAATCGGTTTGCCATTCATGTTGTGTGTCTTTTGAAAATTGTAAAAACCAGATTCAACAATAGAATGACCGATAAATCCATCCAAATTTTCAACAATTTTTCTTTTTTCCAAAATATAATCATTATTTAATTTATCATAATGGGGTAATTTGTCCAGTTTTTCACTTGATAAATTATTTTCAGATTTTTTAGTGGAGTTGACTTTGAATTTATCTTTAACAAATATATTCATCAATTTGTTGTTAAAATAATGTAAAAGTATTATTAGTTGTTTATCCCGATTAATATTACATCCTTTTGAACACTCTTGTGGCTTACCATTGGCATCAAACACCAGATGTTTGTCTGTTATTGTATAACTTCGAGATGCATCAAATTCCACATCTTTTTTATCATTTATAATTAAAGATATATCAAATATGCTATACATCTTTTTTGCTTTTCTCTTTTCATTGAGAAAAACAAAGGTGTAACCACATTGAGAAACCAAATAATTGACACATGAGTGGATGTAAAGAATTTTAGAATCAGTTGAATTTCTTTTTGCAAGTGTGTTTTTGGTACTGGTAGTGCTGTTAAGTTTTTTTGTGTGTTGAGACATTGTTGTGGTTTTGAAAGTTTGTTCTTTTTATATTATTTATTTTTCTTATGTTAACACCTTTTTGATCATATTTATGTTAAATTTCCCATAATTATCCACAAAAATTGCCTTTTTCAATAACCAATTCAATTTGCATTTTTTATTTTTCATCAAATTAAGTTGATTTAACTTTGTGTTGTATATTTATAATCCTTGTGTTATTTGTAGTTATTTGCATTTTATTTACATTGAAATTACAGCGATTTTTAAATAAATATCCACTTCATCTTAAAATAGATAGAAATGAAATGAACCTAATGATTAGGTTCATTTTAAATCTAAATATAAATATGTCACTCTGTTTAATTATTATATTATTAAATAATAACATTGTAAAACGATATCAAAATTAGTTTAAATGCTTTAATAATTGATTCCAATTATAATAAATTTTAATAAACAAAATTATGTATAGTTCTGATACAACAATTAATTAATAATTAATAAAACATCATCAAATAAATATAATAAAATCACACTAATTTTTTAACTGTACTAATTTCACGATTTAAAAAATAAAGGAAAAAACATCAAGCGAAATAGTTTTTTTGAGCTTTTAATTACTTTTATTAAAATATGTTATTGTGTTGATCTGGTTACCTAGTTTAGTTTTTTAAAGTTAACAACTATTCAATTATAGTTAAATTTAAAAACAATTAAAAATTAATAATTGTGACCAGAGTTGTACAGACTCAAATTCATTGAGACACATCGCCAAGTACTTTTGTATTAATTTATGAAATGGGTATTTAATAGTACTTTTCAAAACGTTGTATAACGCAACCATTACGTTACCTGGGATATTCATTCGACTTACAAAATTGTGGTTATAATCTTCACCACTGAAGTCTTTCATTTTTGTGACATTGCTTGCAACAACCGCTACAGTCATATAAGCTTCATGTTATATCGATTAAAATAAAATATATATAAAATATATTATAATATAATATAATTTTATAATAATTAAGTTATACTTTGTTGATAACTTATTATAGTAAAACACAAACAGGTGATTGGGAATTTGTTTGTAGTGACTTTGTCGAAGTGCTCGAAGTAAGTGTTCTTTTTTGAAATAGAAAAGATGTTGTTGAGTTTGTTGTACTTTTCTTTTATTGCTTTTCCCAAGTGTTCAAATGCTTCTGCATATTCCATTTTGATGCTCAATGAAGTGAATTCGCAATAAATGAGATACCCAAAGTTGTACTCTGAGATCTCCAAACACTCACACGCCACACTAATGAAAAATTCAAATATCTCAGTTTTGTTTGTAGCAACGCCAACTGTTTTTCCAAATACAGAAATGATACTGTTCAAGTCTTGTGAGTACTTTTTCGAAAGTGCACTTTCACTCAAAAAGTCGCCTATTGACACCTTTTTGATCAAATACAAATCGGTGACATACAACTGCTCTGCTAACAGTCTTAAAGATATTTCTATATTACTCAATAGCTTCTGCGTCTTCTCGTTGTAGTCCACCACCTCTTTTAAGAGTGAATTGATACCAATTTTTGTGGTGACTTTTTTGACAATTTCATCAACACTCAGAAACCCCTTTGGTGTTGTCACAAGCACTTTCTTGTCGGCCAATGAGACTTTTGTGTTTGTTATTTGCAGTAAACTCTGTGTCCTATTTTTAGAGAGACTTGACTTCTCTCTGTTCTCGATGTCGACTACAGACTCTTGCTTTTTTATGGAGTCGTCTTGTCGTTCCAAGCTGTTAGAATGCCGTGGTGTGCGACTTCGTGGTGTACTTCTTTTGGCGCTTTGTAATTGCTGTTTTGATTTTGCAGACACATGAAGTTATTCAAAAAGTGTTGTTTGATTAACAAACTGGACGACTCTGTTTTTCAGTTCTGTTGCTCTTTTGATGAAATCGTCGAACTTCTGTCTGATATCCAGTGGCATCAGAGTCCCATAGAATTCAAAATAAAGTTCGGCTACTTCTTTGAGTCGCTTTTTCTCGTGATTTGAAACATCAGTTGACACGTTGAACAAATTATATTTCGACTCGAGTTTGGATAAAAAGTAGTCATACGTGTAAGTCTGTGAAAACACAACTAAAAATTGGACGAGTAATTCTTTGGAAAATATTTGGAAGAAAATCGACTCAAAGGCAATGTCTGGTGGTACCGAAACCATTTGGAAAGTCTCTTTGGAAAACTTTGGATCAATCGATCCTTCTGGGTCAAAGACCAAGTCTCTGTTCCGAACAACAGTTTCAATGAAATACTTCTTTTGTGTGTCAAAAGAACCATCCGAGAACACTTTGAATATTTTCTCTATTGGCATTTTGAGCATTATAAGTGAGTTGATTGTTTGGTGGAAAAAGTATCTTTTTGAGGTGTTGTTGTTTACAAAGTCCATTTGACTAATTCAAGTGATGTCGTGGGAAATATACAATTACCTTCAAATATGTGTCCCATTTGTTGTATGAACTCTTCTATTGACTTCTGCAATGCAATTGATTTGTTTGTATCTGAAAAAGTTGACATTAATGGTAATTTAGTTCACATTATAAATTAATAAATAGTAATGATTCAACAATAGATAAATTGAACCATTGTTATTAAATTAATAAACAAAAATTGAAAAAAGTGTGCAGTTATTATGAGTTTGTTTATACTTTAATAACTACACATATATCTGGTTACTTTATTTTGTAATAATTAAATGATAAAATGATAAAATATTTTTATAAATCTTGTTTAATCTAAATAATACTTATTACAAACTTATGATATACTTTTGTTACATTTACAACAAATAATTAATAACAGAATAGTTATTTTAAGTCTTTAGATGAATAACAATAAATATAATAAATATTTAATTTGAAATTTACAAGCAGAATTAACTGAAAAAAATAAACAACAATAACAATAGTTATTAATATATGTATAAAAATAGTTTTTAACTTACAGATTGATGATTAAATAACATTCTTGACTAATATAATAATTAGTAATTATTTTAAACATTCAATTGGTTTACAATATAAAACCTTTGAATTTAAAATTTAATTGTTAATAATTTCTATTGACAAATAATAAATGGTTAAATGACATATGATGTTGTTATATTCACAGTAATAAAATAGTTAACAACAAAACATTATATAACATGAACATTTAATTTATTATTTAACTACATTTCATATAAAACTTGTTATAAATAGATGTATGTAGTTATAAACAATACCCCAAATTAATAATATGGGATAAGTTAATATATTCTTATGTATATAAATAATTTATTGTTATGAATTAAAAACAATTTAAGTACAGAAAGTATAATTTCAGATTGACACATTCAATATCATATAACAATTAAACTGAAATTGATTTAGAAAAAAGCAATAACCAGTGCAAAGCACATTGAGAGAGTCATCGTTGAGTCTTTTATAATATTAAATAATCCTTCTTCATCAGTAAAGCATTTTCCCAGTTCTTTGTTTATTATTTTTGAAGGCAGTCCACCACAGATGGCAGAGGTGTCAAAGTCGTTTTTGATGAACTTGCCATCTTTAATTTCTGTTTTGGTTGAAGTTGTTTCTGAAGTCTTAACACACCCAATTTTAATAAGTGTTTCTATTGGTCTGGCATCACTTTCTTTGATTTTGCAATCTTTGGCATCAATATATGCATAAGACACAGCTGCATATTCTGGAAGATTTTCAACAAATGATTGATCGCTATCAAGTTCAATTGGATCTTGATCAACCCAATTACCGCAAGTCACAGAGCCATACACCTTTGCTTTGTTTCCTTCTTTGACATATTTGGTGTAAGTGTTGCCGCCAGAATAATAACACTTATCAAGAAGATAAACGTTCATGTATTCATTGTTGGTTATCATGAAATATTCGGCTTGGGCCACAAATGTGATTAGAACGATGGAAATCATTTGATGGATTAGTGATCATCATTACAAGTTTAAATGGCGACGCAAAGCCTTAAAATACAATAACATGTGATAATGAAAACTCTATTTTTCATCAGTCAAGTTATTAACATTAAATATAACCCCACCTTCATTTTATAATTAGAAAAGACTTTGTATTAAAAATGGCATTTGATATAAAGACATATTGTAAATTGGGCGTATTATAGCATTAAAACTTTTTTGTAAAGTTTAATTATACAATTCAAATTATATGCTAACAAACTCTTAACTTTTTGTTTGTTTTTAAAAAATTATTGATCCAAACATCATATTTAATCAAATTTCATTTTTGTTTGTATTATAAAGTTTATATTGATTTAATAACAAAAATTAAAAAATCAATTTTCATTGTTATTTTATATAAAAACACACAATTTCAAACACATTCTACATTAAAAAAATAGTCATGTTAAAAATTTGTATATCTTGTGTTTTAAGTTAATTTGTTTGATAAATATTAAATCAATATAAACAACATTATTTAATTTTGAATATAAATAAACATCTGACTTTTTTTATTTTTGAATTATAACAATAATAAGTTTTGGACATATAACTTCATTAGATAACAATAATATGATACAATAATTAAAACTTTTTTTAAAAAAAATAAAGCGGTGGAAAACCGCTTCAGGAAAAAACCGCTTTTGGTTATTTAATAGAAAAATGATAATATGATTATATTTTTTTGTATAGTTTATTTTTTTCTTTTTCCTCGATTTGATTCAAAAAACAAGGTTTACAAGAATATTTTTGACTTTTTTAAGATGCTGATGTTTGTTATTGAAATTTGTGAATTGTTGTTAATGTAAATTAATAACTGGATTTGCTTTTGAAAAAAACTCACGACATTATTGTATTAAAAACTGTTCTTTGAGGTCGAAATAACAAAAAACGTCTTAAAATTTATCAAATAAAATGAACTTTTTATTAAATATTTTTCATTTTTTTGCAGAAATAAAAAATCAAAAACACTAACCCGCAAGTGTACCTTTTTTTCACACCCCCTTTCACTCCTTAAGGGATTCATGAGGATTGTTAATTTTTCTGAAGATGGTAAATATCTTTAACACTATTTCTTTCAATTTAGATTTTTTTGCCTAAGATCAAAAAGGTATATTTTGAAACACATGATTTTCTTTAAAAATGCTATATATGGATTTTTTGAAAGATGATTCTTGGTGCTGATTTTTACAAAAAAATAATCTATTTCTATTTTTTGATTTACCACAAGACTAACTTTGGTTTAAATGAAAACATTTGATAAACATTTAAATTATCGAAAAAGTCGATTTTTTATCAAAATCACAAAACAAATTAATCTAACAATTTTTAATCTTTTTTACAAAAAATACAATTTATTAAAAATCAATTCATGATATTTCAAACAATAAAAATTGATAGCAAATAACATACTGATAATTAATACTTTATGCGACGACAATTTATGTATTTGCGCAAATTCAAAACGAGAGGTTTTGGATATCGATAAAACAACAATTGATAAATAAACAAATTTGTAAAATTATTGTTTTGTTATAAACGGTTTTATTTATTTTTCAAAACATATACACACAAGAAATATATGTTTATATTAATATTTTATACAATATCAATTCTCAATAGAAATGTGTTCAATTTATTAATCTATTATATATATTATTTGGTGTATTTGTTGTGTTTTGACGATTTTTGATATAATCAATTATCAAAACTCACTTTATAAATTGTTTGAAAATATAATTTTATTTATAGAATTTTAAATCAATAGTGGCAGTGCTATCAGGGTTCGGGAAATTTTGATATTTTACATGCAAAAATATTTTTTTATGTTTAAAAAAATTTATCTTATAATTGCATTTTTTCTTCTTTAAAAAAAGGAACTAATCTTAAAAATGACAAAATTTGCACCCAATTCTATGAATATTGATGTTATTGCACAAGAAAATAGAGATATTGCTGCTTGGAAAGGAGGCGCCATATTTGCAAGTTTGTCAACTTTTGAATCAGCTTGTGTGTCAGAAGATGGTTATAATGAATGTGGTCCAAGTATCATCAACAGAGTTTGCCCTTAAAGATACTATTATTCTTGAAATTTTGTTTGTATCAATTAAATTATTAATATAAAAATTAATAAAAAAAATTAAAAATGTGTATATATATATATATATATAATTATAATTTTAGATATTTATTTGAGACTATAAATAATGTGACTTTTGTTTAAGTATTAAAGGTTAAACAATACTCTATTTATTTTTATTGTTTTTTTAGTAATCTATTTTGTTAGCCCATAAAATAATTTTATTTTTTGAACAATTTTGTTTTTAAAAATAATTTACAAATTTTTTGCTTGTTATTTCATTTTATAAATTTTAAAAAATTAAAAAGTATTACCACACTTTTGTTTTTTATCAACAAAATGATTTGTTTTAATAACATCTAATTTATTTTAGTTATTTAATTACAAATATCATTTTATAGAAATCTGTATTAGTGCTTCGCAGTTATTTAACTGAATTTTAACTGATTTTTTTTCCTGAAAAAAGACTTAATCATTGTTTAAAATAATGTGAAAAGGGTTTTATCAAATTGATTTTTTTTCTTTTTATATAAGACAACAATTAGGAAAAAATAAATGGGAGCCGTATAAGATAGATTTACCGAAATCGCACTTTTGAAACCAATTACATCAACATTGTCTATAATATGATTAACTGAAAACGTGTATACAACAATATAAAAATTGAAAGAACTAAAAATTTTGAACCAAAAAGTAGTTTAACAAAAAATATTAAATTAAAAAACAAAAATGTATTAATTAAAAAATGGACTTTATTTTTTGAATAAAACACGTCTTTAAATTGTTCAGTTCAACAATTTAAAACATGATACTGCTACATCTCATTAGCATCTTTACAAGTTCTAATACATTACATTAATAATTATAAAATAAGAGTTAAACATAACATGATAAAAAACAAATAATCTAATACGAATGATTTTTTGAGCAACTTAACTTTTTAATGTGTTGACACATAATTAAAAATAATTTTAACATTATAATATTTAATAATTAATATTTAATCATTTAAAAAGTTGCATCGTGGTGTTGAGTTGTATATGAGTTAGTATAACTTGTAACACATACAAAAACAAAAAATAACAAAATATAAACACAATGTCTAAACACTTACAATTATCTTTACCTCGGAGTTTTACAACAATTCCTAAACTTTGTTCAAACAAAGGAAAGCCTCCTGATAATAATACAGTTGTTTACAATGACGAGACAGAAATAAAAACAACTAGTAATTCATTTGTCAATCATTCACCAAAAAATACTATAAACACTTTTCCGATACATTTTGTTAAACAAAAACAACCAAATACAATAGAAACAAAAAATTCACATAAAAAACAAACAATCACATCGTTAATAACTCATGAAAATCCAATACAAAAAGATGTGTTATGGCCAACGAGTCCAGAACCTACAAAGAAATAACAAAAAATCTCCAAAAAGTTGAAGATCATTTGGATGTTGATGATAAAAAGACTTATAAT